GCAAGGTAAGGACTATAGCCACTAGGCCACCACGCTGGTCCCAACAGATACATTTTTAATTGTTCCAGACAGTGTTTCTGTCTTGAGTAACTTAGATGTTTTTTGGTCTTGTTTTTGTTTTCAGAGACCATCATCTAGAATCATTTCAAGTTCATCATAAAAGTATGTTCCTCCAGTATTATGTCTTCTCCTGAAGCACCTGGTTGTTTATTGAATTATGCTAGAACCACAGCTGGCTTTTGTAAGAGTAGAGGATGAACACTTTTAGGACTTTTAGAAAATTTTGTTTCTTTTTTGACTTTGTACTTGGTTGGCTTGATTTTATCATTCGGCTGGTCAGGTACCTTTAATGTGGCATTTAAGCCTTGAATTGTGAGTCAACGAATGGATGACAGCAAATGTTCTTCCATCTTGCTTGAGTCAAGCTTAGCAAATCGGCAAATTCCATGAGCATACCAAATGCATAAATGCATTTGCATAATCCAAGACTTTCCTAGGAGGAGAGCACCTGCTGGTTCCATTTATTTTTCTCTTTCTTTCATGACATTGATCTATTTATTTGCTTAGGAAGCATATTATTAGAGATGAGGAGACAGAGAAATTGGCAGGGGGAGAAAAAGAGAAAAGAGCAGAGACATCTTGCCTTCCCTCTCAGAATGCTCATGCTAGCCAGTGCTAGGACAGCCTGCGGCCAGGCACTTCATCCTGCTCTCCCACACAGGTGCAAGGGGTCCAGGCACTCTGGCATCTGCTGCTGCCAAAATGCATTAGCAGGATCAGAAGCGTGTCGCTGAGACTCGAGCCAGTACTCCAGTGTGGGATAGAAGCTTCACGGGCAATGGCTTGACCCTGTGCATATCAAACCAACTCTGATTCTGTCTTAAAGAATGGAAATCCGTAGCCTTGTGGCTAGGGTCTTTGCTTTGAACACACCAGGATCCCATGTGGGCACCAGTTCTAATCCCAGCAGTCAGGTTCTAAGCAGGTACCCATATGGGATGCCAGTATCACAGGTAGTGTCATAACTTGCTGTGCTGTGATGCTGGGCCTGGCTTATAATTCTTTTTTTTTTAAGATTTAAGATTTATTTTATTTTTATTGGAAAGGCGGATATACAGAAAAGAGAGACAGAGAGGAAGATCTTCCGTCCGATGATTCACTCCCCAAGTAAGTGCAATGGCCGATGCTATGCTGGTCCGAAGCCAGGAGCCTCTTCCGGGTCTCCCATGCGGGTGCAGGGTCCCAAAGCTTTGAGCTGTCCTCGACTGCTTTCCCGGGCCACAGGCAGGGAGCTGGATGGGAAGTGGAGCTGCCGGGATTAGAACCGGCGCACATATGGGATCCCGGGGCGTGCGAGGGCCTGTGGCTTATAATTCTTAAGTTGCTCACAACCTCTGTGGTGGATTTTAAATGACATGTATATGTGATATTCATGTGTATTGAGGATATTGATATAGGACTTTCATCCATAAATCAGGGTAAATTGTCGGAAGTTTCACTTGGGCTGGTCAACCGTATTCATGTTGGGACCTGCCAAGATAAAACTCCAGAGCAGTCCTCATTTTGCAGTGTGAGCCTCAGTCTCCTTACACAATCCCTTGAGTGTAACGAAAAACGTCAACCTCTGTGGAGTTCTTCCACTCTCCCACAGATTTCCCCTCTCAGTGACTGGTGTAAGAAATATGGTTTTCTGCTTTGGAGCGTTGTATTTTTAAAGTTGCAGTTGAATGGCTGTGGTTCAGCATTCAGGTGTGGAACTGGATATGAGAAACATTTTCCAGCAAATCCATAAACCCAGCTTTATATCTCACTGTGAGTCATCCAGCAGCATCTCAAAGGGACCTGGGAGCCAATTGGTCCTCTGGCTGCTTTCGATCACAAGCAATAGGTGAGCCACTTGGTCTGCAAATCTCCTTTGCTCTGAATCCATCATGTCAGGAGAACATTTCCATGGCTATTTGATTTATACTGAGAAACGAACGCTGAATCTCAAACCACCATTTACAAAACCCACAAGCTTCTGGGCTGTCATTTTGGTTGCCGCCTTGGAGAGGCCTTTCTGCCTGTGCTCTGCGTGGTGGGTTAGTGCGTGTCTGAAGGGGCTGCGTCTTTGAGGCCGGACACAGCTAAGGATATAATTTAGGGACATTCTGCTGACTGCATTCCTTGCTAGGTGTGCCTCTCCCCTGCTTCTCTGTGTTAACAGTTTTCAAGTATCTCTTAGCCTAGCTGAGTCTGACCTCACAGTTTGGTGACTGGATTTTGTATCCGGGTAATGGCTCCGTAAACATACCTATTGGAGACACCCACTTTTTGTTGTTGTTGTTAACTATTATACTCTGTTTTTTTTTTTTTCCTTCAGTGATTGTATGAATCAGTGTATATTTAACAAGTGAACTGACTAAATGACTAAAAGCCATCAAATGAGTTGTCCTTATTTTGGTTTATGTCCTGCCTCAATGTTAAATTTTCAAGTGGAAATCCAGCATTTAACTACTACTTTTGACTCTCTGCCTTTTAATTTTGACTACCAAATATGGCAGAGTTATTCAGGTTGCCAAGTAGACTTTTTCTGACCTTGAGTGTGGTTTACTGGTATTGCATTAAAAAAAAGAAAAAAAAAAGAAAGAAAAAGAAAAAGGATGTCAGTATTTGCAGTTTTAGGGTAGCCTAAGCCCTTGAGATTTCCCAAAGATCATTTTTAAAGCCTGACATGCAGCTGCCTGACATCTCCATTTTTAGCTAAAGGCATCCTCCCTGCGCTCACAGTGACATGCCCCTGGAACGCAGCACAGGGATGGCTTGCTGTGGGTTAATCTTTGGACACTTCATCTCTGACAAGCACCAGCATCTGTGGTTTATATTGTATTGTTCTTTAGGTCTAAAATAACATTCTCCTAACCCTGATGAGAGTCAGGGGAATGTTTACCAAGATCTCTTTGCTTCCATTTGCACCGTTTTAAAGCTAGAGGTAAAACATAACACAAGTGTGATTTAAAAAAAAAAAAAAAAGCCTGTCATCCAAAAAATAATTCATGGCACTGGTGAGCTGAATGTGTTTCTTTGTCATGGAATGCTCACTGGGGTGGACTCCTTTCGCTAAGAACATGTTATATCTGTGTGCTCTGCTATGGATGCTGGAGACGAGTTATCGTCCGGGCTCACTGGAGACAAGTGTGTGTGTGTGAGCTGTGTACTTGGGCAGCACAACCTTCAAGTTGAAGGAAATGCTCTTGCTTCTAAGCATAAAATGTTGATGGATTCTGGGTTAGTGATTCTTTGACTGAAAGGTGAGCAGACCACAACTGATTTATATGCAAAGAGCTTTAGGCCCTATAATGTAGAGCGTATAATCTTATTAGAAAGCCCTTTAAAAATCAATATAAAAAATAAGCCTTAAAAGTGTGGTCGCATTGAGTTCATTCTTTGGGAAAAAAAAATCTATTATCAATTACATTACTCTCTTTAAATGCACCACAATGGTTTTTATTCAAAGGATACTTCTAGCCTACGTATATATTCACAGCTGTCAAGACTTTGTGTCGTTCTGCCTTTTACAAATCCCTGTTCTCAGCCATTTCAGAACCTGGTGCTTGAAGCAGCCATTTTGCAGAAAAGCAGTTCAAGCAATCATCTGTCAGCCCCTTCCCTCTGCTTCCTGCTGCATCATTCAATCCTTCCTAGGATGTGAACCTTTGTTCCAGATTTTGAAAGATGCAAAAGTAAGGTCAGAGAGTTAAATACTGAAAAATAAATCTTGCAGGCAGAACCCTGCGTTCATCAGTCTCTGAGATCTAGGAGCTGAGTGACTGTTGTATCGGTGTCTTCCTGGTGCCCAGGTGATGGTAAATTTCATGAAGTCTGCTGGTTCTTGTGGAGGACCCTGGATAATAATGACACAAGCTCAGCAGGAAGCTTCAGTAACAGTTGCAGGAGAGGTGTTTTCTATCATCTGGCCTATTGGATTGGTGTTGACTTGGCCATTGGGAATAGATATTCATATCTCAGCTAGGGAGAGTTCACCTGAAGAATAAGCATGCTCTGTTATAGGCTTTCCACAGCAAGACCATTTGCATTTTAAGTAGACATATCCATCCAAATACCTAAAATTCACATAAACCTTAGAATGATTTGCAATCCAAATAAATTTATAATCAAAATTAAAGACTCGGTCCGGCGCCATGGCCTAGCGGCTAAAGTCCTCACCTTGAAGCGCCTGGATCCCATATGGGCACCGGTTCTAATCCCAGCAGCTCCACTTCCCATCCAACTCCTTGCTTGTGGCCTGGGAAAGTAGTCAAGGATGGCCCAAGGCTTTGGGACCCTGCACCCATGTAGGATACCTGGAAGAAGTTCCTGGCTCCTGGCTTTGGATCGGCATAGCATCGGCCATTGCAGTCACTTGGGGAGTGAATCATCGGACAGAAGATCTTCTGTCTCTCCTCCTCTCTGTATATCTGACTTTCCAATAAATCAATAAATCTTAAGAAAAAAAAAGAAAAAAAATTAAAGACTCTTTGACTATCACAAACCTTTGTTCAGGGTTTGTGTGTGTGCACACTGTCTTATAAAATCAGGTAACCGAAGATTTTTTTTTTCTCTCTTCTGGATTATTGGTATGGTTTGATTGTTAATCACTGTTGTGTAAATGGACCTGAGCTTATTTTTTAAAAATGACATAGCAACCAGTAACATAAGATTGGTCTTATTCTTGCCCTGCAGAGTTTATGAGAGAAAAGTTGACCTAACAGTAGCGTCAATTCTGCTAATTAAAGTCACCAATAGTTAAAGTCAGTCTGTCAGGTAGGTTAACATGATGATATAGATGTTTGCTTTTTAAATGGTTCAGAAATGATGCTGAGTCTTGAAATGTGCTCTTTGGGGAGTTTTCTTCTCTACAGTCGGCCTTTAACATAGCAGGTGATCCTGCTATATTGAGATACCTTTCTCTGCCCTGGCCTTTCTGAGTCCTCGTTCTCTCTGCTCTGTTTCAGGTGTGAATCATGGCGCTACGGGGAGAGTCGATGATTTACGGCTTTGGAGGGCGTGCATGTGTATGATTAAGGGATGTAAGTTCAGGACTCCAAGATTTACTTCCTTCCTGTTCCCGTAGGGTTACCTGAGGGAGTGAGTAATGGGATAATTTATAACACCACAGGTCCTTTGTCAAGACTCACAGTCAAAACAGGAAGATAAAAAAGACAGTTTGAAGCGTGAGGATGCAACTTTTGATCCTTTCTGGACGTCTTAAGTGCAAGCAAGAGCGTCTTCCTAAGTTTCCTGTTTGTTTTTTTTCCAAGGAGCTGTCCATGACAAAGGTTAGTATGTCAATCCTAGGTAAACTCTGTGAGTGGTCTGTTAAAACTCACATGTCTCTCTCCATGCTTTCTGTTTCTTGGCACTCTTACCTTTTGGGTCTGTTCTAGAAACCTAGTGGCCACACAATAGAACTCATATCTTTTTACAAGGTCAAAGAGTCATCAGGTGCTTGGAGTGTGATGTCTAACTCAGCGGTATTTCAGTGTGTGGGAGGTCTATGCATCTTAGAATCTTTCATTTTCATTTATATATTTCAGGGGCTTCGGAAAATTCATAAGCATATGGAATTAAAAGATAATATTTGTTGTGAACTGGGGTGAAGTATAGTTTACTGATAAATTGTTGATAGAATGACTACAGGGTTTCTCTCCCGATTTTGTATACGTATATTTAGGCAAAAAGGGATTTAGATATCCTCAGAGATGGATTTTTTTCATGTTGTAAGCAAAAGTAGGGCAGTTGAACATGGCGTTCGATAGCATTCAAATGCTTTGTTTCATTACCAAGTGATTTTGATACAGATTTGTATGCTTTGGTTATTTTCACACTTTAGAAAATGCCAGATACAGTAAAAAAAGAACAAAACTCTTGCGTAAGAATGGAAGTATATCATCACCTTGATTTTGTTCCATGACATTATCACATGATGGGTCTTCTGTCTGCTTGTTGGTAACCTTAGACTCACAAAAAATGAGTACCACAAGTGACAATTTTACATTGAAAACATTAATCTCACTGGTCACTGTGGAATGCCTTAGTGGTTGGCAGTAGATGTCTTGTATTAGAAATCATTATGATGAAATGGGAACCGTTCCAAGCTCTTCCTCCTCTCCCATCTGCCCTAAGTGACTAAAACATTCCCATAAATAACTGCTACCCTTTTGAACCGACCTTCAGGTTCATGAGATGTAAATATCAATGGCCTTGTCTTTTTTTTTGGGGGGGGGATGTGTGCATAGTTCAGGAAGCACAATTTCTGCAGATAACTAAAAACAGGTGCATGAGTGGGTAGACAGGCATGGGCTTTTATGATCCATTTTGGAATTCTGTCCATTAACTTGGCTTCTAGATTTTTGTGCAGGAGAAGTGTCTCACGGACAAAGAAACCTACACGTTCAGGTCCTCTAGGGGTTTCCGTGGACAGATTTCGTCAGGTTGGGTTCTTCATGTTAGGCTGACCTTGTGATATTTTGCAGGAATACAGTATGTAAGTTCCTCTTGCCACTGGACCTTTAAAGTAGAGGACTGTTTTTCGGGTAGTCTAGCTCTATAACTGTAACAAGACATATGTCAACAGTTTAGGTGAAACTGATGAACTTATCTGCGCAATAAGATGCTGGACTCTATGTTTTGTAGATGCTTGCAAGGAAAAAAAAATCTCAACTGAATTTGATCTGTGGTAATGAAACAAGATGGAAGAATCCACCTTGGGGGGAGGAGCGGGTTTTGGGGAGGGGAGGGGGGAATCCAAGTGCCTGTAAAACTGTGTTTCATGATGCAATGTAATAAAAAAAAAAGAAAAAAAAATAAAGTAGAGGACTGCAGTATTCCTGCGGAGAAGATAATAGCTTGGGAACACCCCTCCCACCCTTCTGGGTTCAAATTCAGATTCTTCCACTTGTAGTTTGACTTGAAACTCTTTGAGTTTCAGGTTTCAGAGTGACTCATTTGGAATAATAATTATACTTACCTTTTATTTTCTTAAAGAAGTAAATGAGACCTATCTAATTGTGAAAAACACTCCAATAAAGATTTCTTAAATGTTATCTGCTAACAAATGTTTCGGTGTCCCCAGAGACTGGCTTGCAGAGCTGATGAGACCTGCAGCTTTTTGGGAGATTCACCTCTCTGGAGCAGTTCCAGAACTTTTGGAAGAATATCATATATTGCAAAAAAAGAAAAAAAAATAGAGCAGCTCTTTCATAAAAAGGCTTAACAAATTGTATTTTGTTTCTCATTTAGAGAAAAATAATTCCTCTGGTTTTATGAAATGTGAATTATTGCAAAGGGAAACATTTGAATACGTACTTCATTGCCTTGCCAAGTGGCATCAGTCAGACTTAGTTACATATCCATGGGTACTTGCAGTTGCGGAATTGCCCCCTGTAGGAATTACTTCAGTGCTTGATGGCACGGGGTTACTTTGCTGTTTGGGGCACTGTTTTCTTGAAGAGGTATGGACACACCCTGGGATGGTTCTTACCCCTCTGCATGTTGGAGCATTTGTACGTTTATTCTCTGAGCACTGAGGCACACCATTGGGAGTTGGGGGGGAGTGGTAAGATGAAGGGGATAAAGGTAAAACTGAAAATAAACGAATATGATAGAAATAACAGAAACCTCTTTGCAAGGAATACTTAAACTGTTTTTATTTTAATTTTTATTGCAAAGTCAGATGTACAGAGGAGAGACAGAGAGGAAGATCTTCCATCCACTTATTTACTCCCCAAGTGTCAGCAATGGACAGAGCTGAGCCAATCCAAAGCCAGGAGCCCAGAGACTCTTCTGGGTCTCCCACGCAGGTGCAGGTGTAGTGTCCCAAGGCTTTGAGTCATCCTCAACTGCTTTCCCAGGCCACAAGCAGGGAGCTGGATGGGAAGTGGGCCCGCTAGGATATGAACCGATGCCCATATGGGATCCTGGTGAGTGTGAAGGCGAGGGCTTTAGCTGCTAGCTACTGTGCCAGTCCCTAAACTGTTTCTCAAAGTGGATTTCACAGCCAGCAGCAAAACCATTCGTTATTGTCTTTTAAAAAACCAAGTCCAGTCCACAAAGTTGGAACTCAGATGCCCATCTGGAAGTTTTCCAGGGAAGTCTAGCAGTACTGGCTTCTAGGTCTCTGATTCAAGAGGCAGAAAAATCTATTTTACAAAGTAACCTCTTCTATTGATTGGGAGTTGTCAGTGTTTGATGAGAAGGCTCTGAAACATTAACTGATTAAATTCTCTAAGACCAGGCAGTTCGTCACGGCGGCCTCCGCTCTTCTGAACTCCTAAGTGTTGGTGTTGACACATCGAGTATTCTCGAAATATGGAGCAGAGAGCAGAGTGGCACATTTTGACAGCAGTTTGGTTTTTCCCAGAGGGAATCAGTAGAAATAGGTTGCATTCAACTGAGATGTTACTAATTGTTGGCGCTTTGTGGTACCTAATCATTTGTATAGTTCATTAAAAATAGCCCATACACTTAATTTTTCTTTACTAGTTGTGCTGAGCATAGAACTAATAATCTGTGCTGATGGAAAAAGCAGTTCAGGTCATTTTCTTACTACTGTGTTCCCTGCCAATTATTATTATTATTATTTTTAAGATTTATTTTTATTTACTTGAAAGACTGAGTTACAGAGAGATAAATTTGGAGAGATCTTCAGTCTGTTGGCTCACTCTCGAAACAGCTACAGGGACTTGGACTGTGCTAAACTGTAATGTGGAGTCCTGCACTTCATCCAGTTCTTCCCTGTGGGTGGCAGGGATGCACGTGCTTGAATCAGCTGCTGCTGCCTTCCCAGGGGACATGAGTAGGGTGCTGAATCAGAAGTGGAGCCATTGGGGCTCGAGCTGGGGTTCATATGGGATGCTGTGTGTGGCAGGTGGCAGTGTGACTTGATATGCCACGCCAACCCCATTTCTTCACCTTTATCCTTCCAGATACTCACATCTTTGATTTTTAACTGGAGAAAGGAGAAGTGCTTTTGTTCCACATTCACCTGCCTTCCATTTTAACCAAGGCAGCTCTGCCTCCAAACACATGTGCTTGCTTAGAGCTTTTTCACCCCTATGCCCGGAAGTGGGGTATGACTGGGCAGGATTCTGTTTGCTTGCACACCTGAAGAGCCGTGAGGTCATGACTTAGTGTAAATTTAGGTGGCCAGGAGGTTGCAGACGTAACCTTCATTGTGCAGATATGGAAGGGAGATCAGGAATGCAAATACTTGCCCAAAATCATTCAGCCATTTGCTTTCTGAGCAGCAGGTGCCATCAGTGCTGTTTGCGCTTTGTCACTAAGGCGCACTGCAAAAGGTAGAGTGCTGGACCGCACTGTGGTTCATGGATCGAAGTGGTCTGATGGAGGAGTCAAAGGGAAAAGTCTGAAGAATTAGGGCTGGGGCAGGTTTTGTTTGAGGTTGTATTAAAGGGAATATCTCTTGGTCAGGGAGCATGAATACGTTTTTTTCTAATACAAGAGAAAAGGAAGAGATTAAAACATGACGAAGATCTGATAGCTTTTCACGCTGTTTACTTTCTTTTGAAACCATGCAACAATGGATATTTATTCCTCATCAGGTAACTTAAGGTAATGGAAGATGGACGTTTTCTGATTTTACCTTCTTAACCTCCTTTGGTGGTACTACCCTTTTGTTTTGCTTAAAAATAGCCTAAAAGAGAAAGCAAGTGAAACTTTCCAGATCTGATAACTGCAGTGATCCCATAGGAAACCTCTGGCTCCCATCCCGGAGTGAGGTCACGCAGTCTGCTGTCAGCTGGATTTATGTTGCTGTAGTGACCAAATGCAAGGCATGCTGCCACTCCTGCTTTGTCGCCATTTGTCATGGTGCTGGAGTGGCTCCTGGTCGGCTGTGTGCTTTCTGTTCCTGCTCAGAAGCACAGCTCTTCCATGGGCAGAGGCACAGCTATTCGGGGTCCCCCTCCCCGCCTTTTGTTTCGAGTAAGTTTTAAATCTAGGTAGGATAGGAAATGTGACTATCAGTTATAACTGGTGTTACGACTTTGATTCTATCCCTGTGCACTCACACTCAGAGTTAGGAGCTGCCTCAGGATCTGGAGGAGATATTTTCCTGATTGTCTCATGAACTCTGGGAAAAGCTTCCTGTCTGGAAAGATATAATTGCACTGGACAAGAGATAGCCGGGGAGCTGAGACCTGCCTTTACCTCCGATGATCAAAACATATGTCTGCTAGGTATACTGTTAAGGAGTTCAGATAATTCCTGTAAACTGGAAAAGAAGATTAATTTTATTTTGATGAATAGCAGCTTTGGA